TACTGTACATAGAAAATCCTAAAGATGCTACCAGAAAACTACTAGAGCTCATCAATGAATTCAGTAAAGTTTGCAGAATACAAAATTAATATACAGAAATCTATTGCATTTATATACACTAACAACAAAATAACAGAAAAAGAAATTAAGAAACCAATCCCATTTACCATTACATTAAAAAGAACAAAATACCTAGAAATAAACCTACCTAAGGAGGCAAAAGACCTGTATTCTGAAAACTATGCCAATGAAAGAAATTGAAGATGACACAAACAGATGGGAAGACATACCATGTTCTTGGATTAAGAGAATCAGTATTGTTAAGATGGCCTTACTATCCAAGGCAATATACAGAGTCAATGCAACTCCTATCAAATTACCAATGACATTTTTCACATAACTGGAACAAAAGATTTTTTAATTTGTATTGAAGCACAAAAGACCCCGAATAGTCAAAACAACCTTGAGAAAGAAGGACGGAGCTGGGGGAATCAGGCTTCCTAACTTCAGACTATACTATAAAGTTACATTAATCAAAACAGTATGGTACTGGCACAAAAATAGACACATAGTTCAATGAAACAGGATAGAAAGTCCATAAATAAACCCATGCACTTATGGTCAATTAATCTATAACAAATGAGGCAAGAATATACAATGGAGAAAAGATAGTTTCTTTGATAAGTGATGCTAGGAAAACTGGATAGTTACATGTAAAAGATTGAAATGAGAATATTCTCTAGCACCATATACAAAAATAAACTCAAAATGGATTGATTTTAATAAGTGTAAGACCAGATACTATAAAGCTCCTCAAGGAAAACATAGGCAGAACACTCATTGACATAAATCACAGCAATATTATTTTTGAACCAGCTCCTAGAGTAATGGAAATAAAAGCAAAAATAAACAAATGGGACCCAATTGAACTTAAAAGTTTTTGCACAGCAAAAAAGAAAATATTTACAAGTGATGAGACCGACAAGGGATTAATTTCCAAAATATACAAACAGCTCATATAGCTTTAAAAACACACACACACAAGTAACCCAACCAACAATGGGCAGAAGACCTAAATAGACAGCTCTCCAAAGAAAACATTCAGATGGCCAACAAGCACGTGAAAACGTACTCAACATTGCTAATTATTAGAGAAATGCAAATCAAAACTACAATGAGTTATCACCTCACATCAGTCAGAATGGCCATCATTAAGAAATCTACAAATAATAAATGCTGGAGATAGTGTGGGGGAAAAGGAATCTTCCTACACTGTAGGTGGGAATATAAATTGGTACAGCCACTATGGTGGACATTATGGAGGTTCCTCAAAAATCTGAAAATGTTGCTACCATATGATTCAGCAGTCCCACTCCCTGGCATATATCTAGAGAAAACTTTAATATGGAAAGACATATGCACCCCAGTATTCATAACAGCACTATTTACAATAGCCAAGAGATGGTAACAACCTAAATGTCCATCGACAGACAAATGGATAAAGAAGATGTAATATAGATATACAATGGAGTATTAGCCATAAATAAGAATGAAATAATGCCATTTGCAACAACATGGATGGACATAGAGATAATCATATTAAGTGAAGTTTGTCAGAGAAAGACAAATATATGATATCACTTATATGTGAAATCTAAAAAAATATATTTTATTTACAACCTAGAAATAGACTCACAGACATAGGAAACAAACTATGGTTACCAAAGGGGAAAGAGATGGGGAGGGATAAATTATGAATTTGGAATTAACAGATACACATTACTATCTATAAAAAAGATTTAAAAATTAAAAACCTACTGTATAGTACAGGGAACTATATTCAATTTCTTGTAATAAGCTACAATGGAAAAGAATCTGAAAAAATATGTATGTATATGAATCACTTTGCCATACACCTGAAACTAACATTGTAAATCAACTACACCTCAATCAATAATAAAATTTAAAAGAGAGAAATCAGAGGACCATAAAACATAAAAATAAAATGATTTTTATGTTAATAATTCTCATATTTATAACTAGAGTCTATATATTTCTCTCAAAGAAATATATCCAACTGCCTACTAGACATTTCCACTGAGAATGACTGATATACATCCATAACTTCATATATTTGAATTACAAACTTGATTTTCTTCCAGAATCTGCTTTTCTCACATTCTTCCCCATTTGAATTGAAGACAACTTTGTTTTCTTCATTGCTGAAGCAGTCATTCTTGGCTCACTTTCTTTAAAATCTCAGGCCAAAACTAATATATAAATTTTATTATTATAGTTTTTTCATCAAAAGGTATGTATTGAGCATCTGCTATGTACTGGGCACTCTTCAAGGCAATGGATATACAATAGTCCCCCTGCCCCTTATCTGTGGGGGATGTGTTCCAAGACCCCCAGTGGATGCCTGAAATCACAGATAATACCAATTCCTATATATACTATGTTTTTTCTTATACTAACAGGCAGATATAGATATACTGGACAAAGGAATGATTTACATCTTGGTTGGGTTGGCACAAGTTTTCATTATGCTACTCAGAATGGTGTACGATTTAACACTTATGAATTCTTTATTTCTGGTATTTTACATTTAATATTTTCAGACCATGGTTGTCTGCAGATAACTGAAACTGCAGAAAGTGAAACTATGGATAAAGGGGGACTACTGTATATCAATGAACAAAGTAGACAAAAAGCCCAACTCGTGAGAAACTTATATTATGAGAAAGACAGGCAAAAAATAAATGAGAAAATAAGTGAATTGTATTTAATAAGGTGAAGATAATATATGCTTTGGCACAAAGAAAGAGTGGAAGAGATTAAGAGGATAAAGGATCTGTGGGGAAATGGGAGGTACACATTGCAATATTGATTAGCTAAATAGGATAAGCATGGCTAGGTCTCATTAGGAAGTTAAATTTAAACAAAGACTTGATAAACTGACTATAATTCAATAAAAATAACAAAGACTTGAAATATATAAGGGAGTTAGCCAAGTGGTCTTCAGGAGGAAATCATTTCAGGTAGAGGGAAAATCTAGAGCAAATTCCCTAAGGAAGATACGTTCTTGGTGTGTTAAATGAACATTACAGAGGTTAGTGTGTTTGGAGCAGAGGAAGAATTGTCAGAAAAGCAGTAGGAAATGAAGTCAGGGTGGTAATGGGAGAATCAGATACTTTGGGTTTTGTTAAGGTAAGGCTTTGCCTTGTGCTCTGAGTTAAATGGGAAGCTAAAACTTCTCTTTTCAGGACAGGAGTGATAAAGCTAAAGTCACTCTGGATACCATGTTGATAATATAGAGAGGAAAGGTTAAAAGAAGGAAGATGTGATAAGAATCTATTTCAATAATCCCAATGAAAGGTTATGATTACTTTGATCAGGGTGGTAGCAGTGGGGACGATTGTCAGATACTCAGTATTTTTTCAACTGCTGAATATTTTCAAATCTACAGAAACCTTGTAAGAATAAGACAATGAACATTGATTTATTTTCCACTTAGGTTCACTAATTGTTAACACTTGCCACATTGTATCTCTCTTCACATCTATTTACCTATCTATCTATTGCCATATAGATATATATAAAGAGGTATGGTGGGGGGAGGGAGAGAGAAAAGTGTTCAATGACTTTTACAATGTTATACAAAATTTACAAATATTTAACTTTTACAGTTAGTTTACATTTGAATTGGTAGACTGAGTGAAGCAGATTGCCTTCCTTAATATGGGTGGGTCTCTCCCCATCTACTGAAATCCCGAATAGAACAAAAGGCTGAGCAAGAGAGAAGTCACACTCTGCCTGATGGCTTTTGATGTGGGAACCTTGATTTTATGTTTTTGGACTCAGACTGGAACTCACACCATCAGCATGTCTCCTGGTTCTCAGGCTTTCAGACTGCAGATACTGGGAGTTCTTAGCCTCCATCATCACATGAGTTAAATCCTTTTTTGTTATTTATTCTTTATCCTTCGGTTTAAATTTTAGATTAAGATTATCTAGTTGCATTAAAAATCCAACTGGACTTTTTGATATCAATGATTTTTAATTCATGGATTAATTTGGAGAGATTGTATTTTATATTAATGAATGTCTTCTAAGCACAGGATTTTTTCTATTCATAATTTTCTCTGTACTTTAATAGTGTATTATATTTTTATTCATTGAGATCTTATATATTCTTAGTTAATTCTTAAATACTTTATAGATTTTTTGATATTGTGAATGATACAGTAAAATGTTTTTTGCTTACTGATAATGTAGAGAAATACTTTAATATTAGAGTCACTCCATTTGACTTAACTTTACTAAGCACAAAACATGGAGAAAATAAAGCAAGTTGGGCACCAAAGAAATACAAGGAGTTTAAGAAGAAATGAATAATGGGTGAAATTGAGTGAGTAAAATAAGCACTCATTCAGAATAAACCAAAAGCAGAATATTTATACATTAGCTAAACTACCACAAAAACTAGATTCCAAACCTCTGCACTAGCGAGGCACAGACCTTACGCATCTCACCCAGCTTGTGTGTGATTGAGTTTCTTCATTTATAAGGTAGGAACTGAACTATATCATCTTCCAGGTCCAATTCAGCTCTAATGCTCTCAAGCTGTCTTGAACTGGAGAAGGTTAATAACTTAAGTCTTAAAAGCAAATCCAAAGCTTTAAGTTTTTTTCTTTAGATTGTATTAAGTAAATATAATTGTAATCTTTACAGACAGCAGTAGCTTCCCTCTTTTATGTAAATAGTTTGCAGAATTCAATCTGCAAGACCATGGGCAAACCCAGGTCATTTCTCCAAAGTCAAAATGATGATGGCTGTTGACCAAGGAAAACATATGGAAAGCCATCTGTTCCTTGATAGGATGTACAGTATCCTAAATAATTGTATGACTGCGTGGAGTGCCTTTCATTTCGATTTTCCAGGACAAGGATACTGCCAGATGTAATGAAATACTAGTAATATTTTAAAGTTGATCTTGGTTACTGAGGACTTGCTGATATTTCTTACCAGATGTTACAATTTGCCTTTTGCTTTTTTCTAGGTAGGTTATTTCATCAATAGTGAAAAATTATAGTTTTATGTCTTCCTCTTTCTATCATTTTCTTTCTTTAAAACAATGCATGTAAAACTTCCTATATCAAGTGTAATTTCTGCTGTAGGTTTTTAATATGTAATTTTTCCAGGTAAAGAAATTTTCCTAAGAGTTATTTTTAACCAGAATTATATACTGAACTTCATTGAATGCTGTAGTGGGTTTCATGGTGGCTCCCCCCAAAATATGTCCATATCTTTAATACCTGAATCCTCTATATATTACTTTATTTTGAAAAATAGTCTTTTCAGATGTAATTACATTAATGATCTGAAGATAAGAACATCCTGGGTTACTGAGGTGAACCCTAAATACAAAAGCAAGTGTCCTTGTAAGAGACAGAAGAAAACACAGAGAAGAGGACAGATCTATGTGAAGCTGGAGGAAGTGGTCAAAGTGATACAGCCGTAAGGAATGCTGACAGACGCCAGAAGCTGGAAGAGGTAAGGAATGGATTCTCCCCAAGAGCGTTTAGAGGGAGTAAAGCATTGCTAACATCTTGATATTATAATCTGGCCCCTAGAACTGTGAGAGAATATATTTCTGTTGTTTTAAGTCATCAGGTTTGTGATAATTTGTTACAGCAGCCCTAGGAAATTAATACAAATGTGTTTCTGCATTATTTGGTTTTTATCTTTTAGTTTATTTATGTAGTCAGTGTTCACAGCCAGAATCAAACAATTGCAGGTACTTTTAATTGGGAAGATATTCAAGTGGGAAATTATATGCTTACAAGATTATTGGAAGGGTTTAAGTAATAAGCTACACAAAACTAGCTTGCTAGTAAAAATGATATTCTTTGAGAATTCCATTAGATTTATGCCAGTCTAGTTCTGGAGCTTTCTCTATCACCACAATAGCCTTTGTGCCCAGAATTATGGAAAGAAGACAGTAAATGTGTGATCCAGGAATTAAAGAATCAGTTAAAGAAGTAATACACTTGATCTTAAGGCCTCTATTCTTAGAAATGATTGGAAGTGTGAGGGCAAGCTTGAGAGGTGTCAGCCTCAAAAGAAATATTTTACCCTAAATATTATTTATGAAAATGACCACATTCTCTCCTTTTCTAACACATAACTCATAATAGACAGAAACTCTGTTTAAGCAATAACATAAATCCAACCCTTTTCAAAATTGAGAGAAAAGATGCTCTAATTAGAAATGGTGTAATCAGAAAGACTGTAGAATAACCTTCACTAATGGATATCAATTTACTCAACATCAGAGAACTCATACTGATGAAAAACACAATGAATGTAAGAAATCTGAGAAGATGTTTAAATTTAATTCGGTCCTTGACACACCATAGAGAATTCATACTGGTGAGAAACTTTAAAAATGTTAAGAATGTGAGAAAGCCATTATTTATGTGGATAATATACTCAAAACCAGAGAATTAATACTGATGGAAAATTCTGTGGATATAAGGAATGTAGGAAGATCTTTAGAAAGAACTAATTGAGTTCTTTTTTGCAAACCAGAAAATTCATACTGGTGATAAAGTTTATGACTATTAGTAATATGAGGAAGCCTTTTTTGTGTGTAGACAAGTAACTTAACATCAATCATTTATATTCATCAGAAACTGATGAATGTAAGAAATGTAGAATGTTTAGACTTAATTCATTCCTTACTATGTATTAGAGAATTCATACTGGTGAGGTGTTTTATGAATATTAGAAATGCAATAAGGCCTTCATTGTGTGTGGACAATTTATCCACATTAGAGTATTCATACAGGTGAGAAATCATAGGAATATAAAGAATGTGGGAAGGTCTTTAGACCTGATTGAATTCTTTCTTTAAGGCAGAGAATTCATACTGTTGATAAATTATTGTGAATAAATGGAGTAAAGCAAAGCCTTTATGTGTGAACAAGTTACTCAAGATCAGAGAACTCATACAGGTGAGAATTTACATAAAGAAGGTATTTAGACTGAATTGAGTTCTTCCTTCAAAGCAGAGAATTCATACTGATGATAATTTTTATGAATGTGAAAAATGTGAGAAAGCCATTATAAGGTGTGGACAAGTCACTCAGTGTCAGAGAACTCATACTGGTGAGATACCTGATTAATATAATATGGGAAGATATTAGACTTAATTCAGTCAATTCTATATGATAGAGAACTCATACTGCTGAGAAGCTTTATGACTATAAGAAATTCAATAAAGCCTTTACTGTGTATAGACAACTTACCCAATATCAGATTATTAATATTGGAACCCCCCAACATCCTATGAATGTAATCAAAGTGGGAAAACCATTAGTATGCATCAACAGGTTACTTGAAAAATGTTCATACTGTTGAAAAGCTCTTTGAATGAAAGGAATGTGTGAAGGCTTTTAGATATAATTCAAACCTTAATACATGTTGGTGCATTTATACTGGTGTGAATTATTATGAATATTGGGAATGTGCAAAAGTCTTTAGTCAAGGGGGACACCCTACTATGCAAAAGAGAATTCATAGTGCTGAAAATTCTGTAACTATAAAGTTTATGGGGAAACCTTAAATAGTGGCTATCAAATTACTCAACTTCAGAGAATTAATACAGGTGATAAACTCTATGAATGTAGGGTATGTGGGAAGACCTTTATTCATGTTAGATATCTTAGTTTTCATCAAATAATTAATTCTGGTAAGAACAAATTTAAGGAAGTTTGAAAGAACTTTAGGCAACATTTACATCTTTGCTTGAGAGAATTTATAATATAATTTAATTAAGAAAGCCTTCATTTTTTATACTCCTGTTTGTAGAATATCAGAATATCTATCCTAGAAAAAAATTGGAAAATGTAGAAACTTTATTTGCTAATTTAAGCTCATATCTATCTAACTGGTGAAATTTTACCAGGTACAATTTGGAATTAGAGTAGTTACTTTGGAGAACTTTTGATATGGATTAGATTATACATTTTGAGGTACCTTAGAACAAAAGGGAAATATTTCTATTTCCCAATGGAGTGTTTTATTTAATTGATATGAGACTTCCACCTTATAACTGCACTTTAAAATTGCCTCATTAAATAATTTCTTAGATAAAGCAATTAAAATTATGAGAAAGTTAGAAATGCCTAATTTGTAGATCTGCAAAATCCCATTATACTCCCCTCCCTATCTCCTACTCTTCCCTTACCCTTCTTCCACTTCCAGGACTTTGTTCAATTCTCATTGATTCCTTACTTTTACTCCTTCTCCTTTCCCTTAACTCACAAAACTACCTTAATGCATCTTAAAATTAATATGCTCACTTGGGAAAGACCTCAACATGTAGTCATGTTTAGATTTTTGTGCCATTGTTTGGACTTCCCATATCCCAAAATAAAAAGACAAAAATGTCTGTCAAGATGATCATGAGGTTTTTGTCTTTTATTGATGTAGAGTATTAGATTAATTGATTTTCAGTTGATAAAACAACCTTGCATTACTAGGATAAATCACCACTAGTCACAGTGCTTTATCCTTTTAAAATATTGCTGGGTTCATTGTGCTAGTATTTTATTGGGTATTCTTGTGTCTATATTCCTAAGAGATATTTGTAGGGGTGTGTGTGTGTGTGTGTGTGTGTGATGTCTTGCCTGGTTTTAGTATCGGTAGCATCATAGAATGAGCTGGGAAATGTTTCATCTTTTTCTATTCTTTGGAAGACTTGGTGAAGAACCTTTTTAAAATGACTATCTGGTCCTGGGATTTTCCTTGTGGGAAGTTTTTTTTTTTTTAATTACTAATCTAGTCTCTTCACTTTTTATATAGGTCTGTTCGATTTTTATATTTTTCTAGATTCAATTTTGGTAGTTTCTGTCTTTATATGAATTTTTCCAGTTCATCAATATTATCTAATTTGTTAGTCCACACTTGTTCATAGTATAACTTTATCATTCTTTTTATTTCATAAGGTCATAGTAATATTCCTTCTCTCATTTCCAACTTTAGTAATTTGATTCTTCTTTCTCTCTTTTTCTTTCTGTCAGTCTACCTAAAGTCTTCTGATCTTTTCAAGAACTAATGTTTAGTTTTATTGATACTATACTCTAGTTCATTAATATCTGCTCTAATCATTATTATTTACTTCCTTCTGATTGATTTGGGTTTAGTTTGCTATTTTTTTCTGTCAGGGTCTTAAGGTGGAAATTTAGTTTGTTAATTTAAGACCATTCTTCTTTTTGAATTTACAGCTATAAATTTCCCTCTAAGCATTTGTTTCCCATTACATTTTGGTATGTTGTGGTATATTTTTATTTACCTCAAACTATTTTCTTATTTCTTGTGAGGTTGCTTCTTTACCGATTGGTTATTTAGTAATATATTGTTTAATTTTTACATTTTTTGCATTTCCCAAATTTCTGTTATTAATTTCTAATTTCCATTAAAGGGGAACATCCTTTAGTGAGTTATATCCTTTTAACTTTTTTGAGGCTTGCTTTATAATCTAACTTCGAGACTGTTCTATGTGCACTTGAAACGATGTGTATTTTGCTGTTGTTGATGGAGTTCTCTGTAGAAGTCTGTTAGATCTACTTTGTATAGACTGTTATTTAAGTCTTCTGTTTCCTTATTGATCTTCTGCATGGCTGTTTTATATAATACTGATAATGG